TTACTATGTTGGTCTATTCTGCACACACAATATGTGTTGGGATCCCTGCTCTGTTGGTTTTCCTGATGTTTCTTCCTATTTTTATCCCCATTAAAGGCTTTTTTGGGGAGGTTATACTTATCTGAATCGAGGGTCTAAGGATAGAGGGTGCCACATTAGGAAAATTTGTGATGTATGATGTTGGGCTACATAAATAAAATGGACTTGACTTTTGTTGCAGCCATTCATATACAATTTGTTATTTCAACTTACTTTCAGTTCCACACACACCACGGATACTGGTTAACGTAAATACGTGTTTTGTTAAAATGTTGCTCATTATAATGACACATTTAGAAACACCAACAAAGGCATTATTTTTAATCTCTGACTTTATACATTTTTTTCACTTATTATTTTATTTATTTTATTATTTATTATTTTTGTCTCGTGGCAGACGGATACGGACGTAGTGGTGCTGATAACTGGAGTGCTGGTGCTGATCACTCTGCTACCCATGATCCCTCAAGCTGGGAAACAACATCTGTGGGAGTACTTTGACATCTTCGGCCGCCTGGCATCTTGGAACCTTAAGAATCCTGGTAGGAGCTTCCTGTCAGGCCTCACAAAACGTGTGTGCAACATGCATGTTTGTATATCTAGCAAAGCATTGCCATTTGCCATTTAATGATATTCAATAGAAAATATTCCTGTTTATACTGTGAGAGATATTGCCCAACCCTTAAAAACAGCCTCTTTTATGGCAACTTAAATATTGCATTTACTGTGTTATTTAAATCTCATCTGTTAAAGAATCAACCGCTCATAGGCTTCTGATAGGATGCTTGCACTCGCTGCCATCTAGGCAGTTAACTGGAGCACGAAAATCCAGATTTGGTCAAAGGGGAGGAAGTCTGGGTGGACAAATACAAAACACTAAACAGTAATTCAGTTTGCCAGTTATCTCACTCTTAAAGTTGTATTTGTTAGTCTGGGGTTCAAGTTTGTGCTTTTTTTCCCTTTGATACTTTTTACTCGTTCAGGGCATGTTTCCGAGGTTTACCTAATCCATCTGCACGCCAGCGTCTACTCACTCTTCCACCGTCTCTACGGCATGTACCCGTGCAACTTTGTGTCCTACCTGCGCTCCCATTACAGCATGAAGGAGAACATGGAAACTTTTGAGGAGGTAGTGAAGGTGAGGATACAGTCTCTGCTGCTGCTGTGCTTTGTTGCTCTTCATTAGAGCTTTTGGAGCCAAATGATTACTAATATACATTTTGTGTTCAACCCCCCTTTCAGCCGATGCTTGAACACGTTCGTATTCACCCAGAACTGGTGACAGGAACCAAGGACCATGAGCTTGACCCCACCAGGTAGGTCCCATACCACCCTGCCTAGCAAAAAGAACAATTCAGTGTTTAATCTACTAGTCTACTGCATCTCATATTACTACTACTACTATACTACTACTACTACTACTAATGGTGCTATGCTTTGCTGTAGGTGGAAAAAGTATGAAATCCATGATATCGTCATCGAATGTGCCAAAGTGTCTCTAGACCCCAAGGAGGCGTCGTGTGAGGAGGGCTACGCCACCATGCCTGAAAACTTTTACCCCCAAGTCCACTTGCGACCACAAGACTGCACTTCCAGCCCCTACACAGACCTCCACAGCAGCTACGGTCAGAAAACACTCTATATGAAACTCAATAGAGCCCGAACAGTGTAACTCTGCAGATACTCCTTTTTTGACATACATTTTATTTTTGTTGACAAATAAAAGTGTCATTGCTCTCTTATGGACAATTACATGGTTTCTGTTTCTACTATATATATCTGTGTTAATCTAAAATTGGCTGATGATATTGGACATGTCCATGTATCAGTCAGGCTCTAAGATTCACACTGCCTTACAATTAATTAGTAATTAGAAAGTTGTAGGTTGCTGTTTTTATCAGTCGACTTTTTCCTTAACACGATGTACAACAGGAAAACAGCAGCATTTATTAGACATGCAATGTTAAGACAGGAAGTCTCAATCAGCAACAACATCAGTTTGCGGCCATACTCATTATACAGGATGGGCTTCTTTTATGACGTAGAATGTCACATACCATCAAAAATGAAAGCTCAGGTTTGGATAAAGTTATTAGTATGCAGGTTTTTTTAATCTTTTCTGCTGGAATTTACACAGCTAGTCAATCAGTATCTGACATCTAGTGAGTGTTCTTACCTGTGAAAGTATACTGTAGGACTGGATAATATGTATTAAATCCTTAATATGGTATATATAATTTTATATCAGAATATCAGTATCTTTAATGATTGACACATTTTCAGGAAAATTCGAAACATTTTATTTATAATATAACCAGATGGCAATGCATGTTTATGGCTAATCCTGCAATTTAAATACCCACTACAAAAATCCATTATACCCAAAAAGTAGTTCTGCATTGATTTTGACCTAAAACCCCCCAGGGATATTATGTGTGTTGTTATCTGAGTGTCCATGTTGAATGAATAAACCATTTGAGAGCATCTTTCTGTAAAAAGTGAATTTAGTGATAGTATGTTACACATTGCAAAGAAAATAAAAGAAATCATCCCTGTAGTATTATTAACAGTAAGTGCTGGTTGTACCCTTTTATTGTGCCACTAAAAGTATATACTACAGTGGGCTATAAAGTGGAAGCCAGATTGCGCTGGTAAAAGTTTTCATTCTCTTAAATTCGTTTGATGCTGCTTATCTCTTTTCATGTTTACTTTGTCAGAAAGGATCTGTTTTCATTTTACTTTCAAATTTTTTGTTTGACATCAGCACCTGTACTGACTTGTCAATAGACAAAACCTTTAGCATTTAGCAAAGGAGTGATTAGGAATCAGGAATGAGTAGTGCTGGATCAGGAATTTACTTGATTGACATAAAATGTTTATAATTGATTAACTGCTGCTTTTAGCCTCGCAAATGTAAATGTAATATGTTGGGGATATTTAAAAAAAATCTACAGTGTTATTACTTCTTATTTTCAGTGAGACACTTGTATTTGTGCTGTTACACTTTGTGCTTTCTAACCGGTTTAAAGGACAAACACCAACCTGTGGTGTCCAAAAGAGCAGTAAAGACTGCATGTTGTTAGGCACATCCGTTTGAAGATTGATCAGACTGTATATCTTCTTGACAACAGGAAGCTCTTCTTCGACCCCGTTCTCGACTCCACGGCAGCCGCTACCCCCGCCCCTGTCCTTGCCCCCCTTCTCAGGGACACAGCCCTCTTACCGCAGCCCACAGACCTCCAGACGGCAGGTAAGATCATCCATAACACGGTCAAAACCTGTCAAAGTCGTGGTTTAGGACGGGCGATTGGTCCGTAGCCGATCAGAGGGTAACACCAGAGCACTACATCGTTAAGTTTCTGTTTGTCATGCTAGCTGTTGTACACGCCGCCATGTTTACACTCCATATATCATCTGTCGCATGCAGTGAGTTGATTGCTCTCTTCCAAAAATCACGCCCTCAATCAGTGCGGCATTTTTGAGTCGTCAGGCTGGCAGACAGTAGGGTAGAACTTTAGGAATTACAGCACGTGCCCCCACGTCCTCATCCTGCCACCTCTGTGTAGACCCTCCCTAGAGCTGGTAGCCATGGAGATAACCGTCTCTGCCTTTCTATTATTGGGCCAGCCTCACGAGGGAGGGGTCTGGGTGTTTTTCTGCCCCCCGAGGCCTGTCTGAGGATTTGTCTCTTACATTACACTCCCTCTGACCCAGACAGACAAAAAATCTGAAAAACATGGGAGACAAATCCTTCTGCCTCTCTGTGGTGCATTAATTATTGTGTGTTTTAATTAGCTCAACTTTGTGTTGTTTACTTCCTTATTATTATTCTTTGGGTGGACGATCTTTGATTTAATGACGGACTACTTCTACACCCCAATTCTGCCTCTCTGCGGCAGATTAATTATTGTGAGATTTAAGATTTTTAGATTGTCAAGACATTTACCTTGATCACCATAACAATCAGGGAATGTGTCTTTAACAACTTCAAGCAAAATTCACAATGTGCCATAAACTCCTTGGACACATCCTGAGTTCATCTGTGGATTGAGTAGATGTAGTGGTAGTCTTGCACAGTACGAACAAAATTCCATTTACCTCCACTGTATTCGGGTAAATGTTTCAGAGGCAATTATCTCAAGCTTTGGCACATAAAACCAGAACTATTTGCATGAGCAGAAATGGGACCGTTCTATATGAAATTACAGCCAGGAGCATCTTAGCTCAGCATAAAGGCTAGAACCAGGACCAAACGGGGAGCCTTGCAAATTAACATGTTATATCTCATTTTATTCATCTGTATTTAAACCAAAGTGTAAAAACAAAAGGTTGTGATTTTACAGTGGGTAATTAGTGAGCTTTAGAGGTGCTGGCAGGTGGATTTTGTTACCTTTGGACAGAGCTACACTAGCTGTTTTCAGTCTTTATGCTGAGCTAAGATAACTAGCTCCTGACTGTAATTTCATATTGTATTGCAAATTTAGCAAACTATGACTTGAAGAAGAGCTGCAGCCGTTTTCTCTGTCTGATCTGTGATCATTTTGGTGTTTGCTCTATTTCTTTGCAGAACTCCACCTGTGAACTCAACTCTTCCTGTGGGGGGAAGGACCCTCTGTGGAGCCCCTCCTCGTTGTGTGGCATGGCCACGCCCCCCTCCTCCAGGGGCATGTCGCCCAACTTGGAGCTCTCCCACAGTGCCTCACACCTTCCCAGCCGCTTCCACTGCACATCAGGTCAACACTTCCACGATTACAATAGATTTAGACTTGGCTGTCGGTGTATTGTTGTAGTTTTTAAATGTTTTTAACTGAGTGACGCTCTGGAATTTTCTTTTCTGCTGACTGCTGATTGTTTTGACCTGAGCAGGAGGAAAAGGAACGCCTGCCTCCAGCACTCCAGCCACCTCTTCCCCACCTCCCACCCTATCAGATGACTTCCCCATAATCTCCTTACCAGCCAACACAGTCCAGTCCAGTCCACCAAGAAAGGTATGCTCTTTCTCCTCCATTTTAAAAATGTGTCCCTAGAACAGTCCTTGTTTCTTCCCCTTTCAGTGAGTTCTTTGTGGGCAATTTTCTATTTGTGCATTTATATTTTCATTAAAAGACAAAAATCCCCAAACAGGCCTTTTCAGTTATTGTTTCAGCATGACAGAATTTCAAAAGACCAATGGGTGTATTGTGATTATTCATCACCAGAATGCTGTTTTTCTGAATTTCATGACTGCTTAATTGTTCAAGATCTGGTTTCTTGAATGTTGCCTAATTAGGTTAGCCAAAAACGATTTGACAAATATGCCAGTCAGTTCAAATTATCTAACTTTTTCTTTTCATCTTGAAAACTAATTTCCTCGACAGCAGGGGGCAAATTAATTCATGAAATGTTGTTTAATTATGTAATTGTGCACTCAGAAGTAAAGCAACAGAAGAAAAGAGTTATTATTATAGTCATATTATTGGTTCTCAGCAGCAGTGTGATGTGTTCGGTTCTTTATTCTGATATATAAATGTAAGGATCATAATGGACTTTACCTGGATGTGTCAGTCATCCTAGTGAAATAAATGTGTAAAAATGTCCTGTAAAAGAGGATTGGAGCTAACTACTGATTTCTTTGCGTTTTTTTTTTTTTAGGATCGTCGACAAGGAGAAAGCAGCAAGCCGGCCCTGGTGAGACAGGAACAAGTAAAAGATACAGAGAAGAGTGCAGAAGTAGCAAACAGAGGTTAGTCGTGATGGGCCTCATTACTATGATTTATCATCATTAATTAAAGTAAAGATCCTCACAGGTTCTTAATTTTGGATGAGATTTGTGGTAAACCACAGTTAATCTTTGATCCAGAGAGAACATCGACACTGGCAGCAGATGAGCCACCAGTTAAATCCCAGCCTTGGTTAAAAAGGGCAGAAATTACTGTAATCTTTATTGCACTTCACAGCTCACACACTCTGTCTGCCTCAAAAAAAAGCACATTTTCCTGTGATGATTATGATGTACCACGTGATCAGAGCTTCCGGGGAGTCCACTTTGATCTCATGTGTTTAACATGTTTATACAGACTCAGAATGAATGTAATTTTAACTTGGCCCGGCCTCTTTTCAGGATGCCAAATGTTGAATAAATTAGATCATCAGTCCTAATCTTTGTTACCAAAAATATTATTAGTCGTTTTGGTGTTGTGTCTTTTTGGAGAGGTTATGTTTTTGACATCACACCCACAGTGATGCATGCATTTCCTCATCAGATGCAGGAGCTGCTGAGAATGTCTCCATGACTTTGACAGAGCTGTCAGTCTTTATGAAGAAACAGGAGCTGGAGCTTCAACTGAGAACAGAGAAAGAGAGGGAAGAGGGTGAGTATCAACTTCTTGGTATAGATCATAGAACTAGAGCCAGGTGGTATATGACTCAGCATGGAAAACTGGCCAGTTGTGGGTATTTTCTTCAAGAAAACAGAGTCAACCCAAAACAAACAATGCTGTGCACAGAAACATAAAATGAACACCCTAAAATGATATCTTGATTTCTCTTTCAGCAGCTGGAGAACCACAAAAAAAGTGCAACTGCTTTTTGCTGTGTTCAGAAATAAGCGAGTTACACTCTTGACAAGTACATGTGTACAAGTGTGGGTTTTCTTGTGTGTTTTAACAACCAAACCACAAAATGACCAGACTCAGGTCTGCTCATCCGGAGCATGTACCAGTTTCAGTATAAACAACAACAATATAATATATTTTTTTATAAAGAAGATGGCAGATAATTAATAAATACAACCTAGGAAATTACATTAAATACAGTTATACAGACAGTGTAAAAACACAGAAATACAGAAAGTGTATTTAGAATCTATACAGATTAATGTTTAGCTGACTCCATACAATGCAAATACAGCCAAAGGTATACAGATACCCGTGAGACCCGTTTTATGGAGAATTTTAAATTGGATCGCATCTTTAAATAAGTGAATTCATTCTCCTGTTAAGCTAAATGAGCCTGAGCTCATGGACTTTGACTAAATATTCAGGATGCTAACACATCCCTGTTTATATCCCTGTGTGTTCAGCTGGCTCTGCACAGTTATTGGTTTAAATCCCACTCGAACCACTTGTACTAAAAATAAATGCACCTTCAGTACTGTGAAACACTTTGAATAAGAGCGTCTGCCAAATGGCACGAGCTCTGCTGTTAAAGCTAGCTGCTTAGATTTTAAGATTTCTGTTCTCTTTGGGGAAAAACAGAAGCCCTGGAAACTTTAGGTTTTCTGTGTGGGATAGCAGGTACTTGGCACTTGTTGTGACTGCAGAAATATTTAAGTGCAGACATTGACATTCAGAACATAACATCCAGGTTTAACTGCATTCTCTTCCATATGTTGTTCCTGCTGCAGCTGCCATCACAGAGGAGCTGCTGAAGATCACTGAAGATAAGCAGGAGCTGTCGAGCCTGAGGGGCTTCGACTCGCCTTTCTATCACACTACCGAGACACTGACTGGCTGCCAGGCACCAGACAAGACCCTCTCCGACGCCCAGCATGGAGGCCCCATTCGGGACACCCACCATGTCGTATCGACGCCAGACAAAGCTGAGAACACTGCAAGTACCAGTGGCGTTGGGAGTGAAAAAGGAGGAGGAGCGGGAGGAGACAGCAGGAGTTCAGCCCTCGGCCTCGAGCAGTCCTGGTCCTTCCAGTCAGGTTTCACCCCCATCGATCATCACCTGCACCGGAGCCCCTCTGCCCCGGACGATGAGGTGGGCAAGTTTGGGATGTTCTCGCCGAGTCCGTGCAGCAAGACCCCGGCCCCGGTGCCCTATGAGTCATTCTTTGACCTGGCCCTGCCCAGGGCGGCCTCGCTCTTTGTGGGCCAGAAGACGTCGGAGGCGGTGCACAAGGCGGCAATGGAGAGGTTGTCGCAGTGGGAGGAAGGGTTGGAGGACGGGGAGGAGGAAGGGGTAGTGTCTGCTTCACCACTGGAGGTGCTGGATCGCCTTGTTCAGCAGGGGAGCGACACCCATGATAAAGTGCTCAAGAGGTAAGGAAGCAGATATACATGAATGTTTTCTGTTAATAAATGAAGACCTGTAGAGGACTGTGCAGGTATTTGCTCTCCGAGTGCTCTCCTGTTCTGTCAGTTTGTTGTCAGTGTCAAACTCATGATGTTGATCATACTGAAGAAACTCAGGAGTGTGTTTTGATGTGCTGTTCACTGTGCAGAGCCTGCCTGGGTAGTTTCCAGTCTATTACTGCAGCCGAAAGGAAACACCCAGTTGAGAACAAGTATGACATTGTTCAGAATCCGCCGCCCCCTTTCTTTCTCCACACACACGCAAACACACACAGTGAGCCGGTCCTCTGAGCCAATAATGCAACAGCAGAGACAGTGTCAGCAAAGTCAGCGCTGGGCACAGAACAATCTGGCTTTGCTCACTTCATTTGCCCATCACCCCCATATTTTACAGTCTCCATCAGAGCCAAACCCGGCCTGATGGAGGGGACAAAATCAGCGGAACAGAGACCAAAGTACGGCTCAGGCAAATAACTAATAGGGCAAACTATTAGTGTGGTCAACTATAACAGCACTATCTCTATCAATACATTACCACATCTACTGAAGTAAATATAGTAAAAAGTTTTAATTCTGTTTACATTAATACTTCTCAATTTCTTTAAAGGTCCAGTGTGTAACATTTTACGGGGATTTATTGGCAGAAATGTAATATAATAATAATTTGTATGTTTTAATTTCCGTATGATCACCTGAGAATAAGAATCATTATGTTTTTGTTACCTTAGCATGAGCTGTTTTTATCCACAGAGGGAGCGGGTCCTCTTCTATAGAGTCCGCCATGTTGAAATGCCATGTTTCTATAGTAGCCCAGGACAGATCAACCAAACACTGGCACTTTCATTTCATGAAATTTGTGGCCACTGTAGTTGGTTGCAACCTGCAACTCTACTACTCGATGTCACTAAATCCTACACACTGGTCCTTTTAAGTATTATAAATTGGGCATTTTGTGAAATATATGTTAAGAAATAGCTCCAGCACATAACCTGCTGTTAAACCACAGAGTTTTCTTTTATACTTAGTTTTTTAGTAAATCCATAATGTAATAATTGGTGAGCTTTAAAGGTTCTGAAAAGCAGATTTTGTTACCTGTGGACAGAGCTAGGCTGGCTGTTTCCCGCTTTATGCTAACAGTCTCCTGGCTTTGTATACATAACTACAGACATTAGATTGTAACATATGCAGACCATATCACCATAGAATCTTGTGTGCTAACCTGTGCTTTCCATCTTTCACCCATGTAATATAGCTCAGTCTGTGCTGTCTATGGCTGGCCTCAGTAACTGTTTGTTTTTGAATTTCTTGCAGCAGTGGTGGTAAACAGGGATATAGTTTATGTTTTAGACTACAACTAACATCAATGAAATGTGGCTACAGACACATTAATACACAAAATTATAAATGTTTCCCCATTTCCAATACCACAACCAACTGTTGCCTTTCTAAAAAATATATAAATGGTTACTGATACCGTTTATTTCTTTACTAAAAATGATCATATCATTAACATCTTCACTGGCATGAATTGTCTAAGAGCAGCTTAATAGAGATAATGTATAGAGAAAACATCCCAGAGAGATTGTTCTTATAAAACAGTTTTCTTATTCTCTCCTTTTACAGATTACCTTTGCCAAGTAAGTCAGCTGACTGGACGCACTTTGGAGGTAAAACACCACAACGCTGTTGAACACTGATAAAAGCAGCTATTATAAAGGCTGCAGATGGAGCATTATTTAGGCATGACTAGTGATTCGTCACGAGCTCTGAGACATGAACAGCATGTTAAAATGTTACCCAGCCAGACATGGAATTTGTTCTACTGAGGTTTATCAAAACACACAAACTTCCCACAGTCATGCAGGACTCTGATTTGAAATGTTGGCCTTTTTTTTTTTTTTTTTTCCAGTCTTTATTTACCATCCTGTATGCACCCAGTTAACCCAAAGCAAGAATCAAATTTTCTCCAGCTTTTTCACAACAAGGACACACTTTCTCTTTGCCAAACTTGTAATTACAACTCTGAAATTTTGTCATCTCCCCTGGTTGACTGATAGAAGTCATGTAATGTTGATCGCATCTAAAACAAAACTCCACTCAGCGCCTGTGGCCGACTGACGTAAACCTTCTGGAGGACTGTTAAGGTCTTGGATCAAATTCTCAAGAGAATTATTTTCTAAATGTTCCATCCCTGCTCTCTCCCCTCTTTGTACATGTTAACAAGTGAAGCTCTGTATCCAGAGTTATGTTGGCCATTTGTAGGGATTGAGGAGCACTACATTTTTCACATTTTAACTATCTTTATCATGTGATTAACTGGGTAACAGCAGTCTCAAAGTCAGCCAAGCAGGGTTGCTACCATCAGGTTGTAAGCTCAAATCAAAAGACTAAAATCTTGCCACATGCATGTTGATCAATAATTTGGTGACCCCTCTAAATAACTGCCATCAGGATATCAAGCAGTCGAGCTGCCAGATTCTTGCTTCTAGCAAAGAGAGCGTTTGTATGTTTGTTTTTTAGTCACCAAAATATCTCTGAAATAGGGCGGATTTCAATGAAATTTGGGAGGGGGGGGTATGAGCCAAGGAACAAGTGATTAGTTTTAGGCGCAGACCCAGCATTCTTATGAAATGATTCCTTTGAAGGAATCAGTCCAGCACACTGCAGGTCACTTGTTTTCACTTCACTTAATTTCAGCGTTTTGGTAGAGCTGTATGTTGTTTGAAAATGTTCTTTCACAGATACCAAACAATATCAAATTGCTTTAAAACCTTTTTTCATTTAATAATAGAAGCTGAAGTTCTCAAAAGTTAAATGTTAAGCAATGTTTAAATGATATCACAAAGTATATGAGCAAAGAATAAATAAACAAGATGATTAATCTGACCAGATGTTCAGTGCCAACTTTCGGTACTTGATATTTATTTTTGATATTTGGTGCTACAGTCACATTTCACTTAGTAACAACACAGCAGGCTGTGGTTTGATGCCAAGGCCTCTGTTAACAGTACTTTTTGGTGTTACTCTTCACTGAAGTTTGTAACGTTTTCTTAAAATTGTGAATGCCCCTAAATGTATTGACCGCCATAACCTTAAGGAAAAATATCTGGTAAATGTATCACATGATTGTCATTGTGTTTGTTGTGATGATCCAGATTCTTTTTACAAAACATTTAACCACATATAAAGGATTATTCAAAGCGAGTGAGAGAGATCAGTAAATCTTCAGTTTGTAAAGTTCGAAAACATAAAGCTTATACTTATATATTTATACTAGTAAATGAAAATTAACACCAGAATCCTGTCCTGCTTTTCTGGCTTGGGAAAATCACAGCTTTGTATTTATATACTGTCATTTTTTCCATTATATTCTCATTAAATTAGCTGTGCTATTCTGGTGTTCCACACTTCCACACTTGAATAATAATTAAGCTCATTTCTAGCAGAGTGTGTGTGTGTGTCAGGTGTGTGACCGTGTTAATTACATTATTATTACCATGGCTTCCCCAGGCTCAGCTCCACTGGACGAGCTTCACACGCTGCGCAGCCAGCTGCTCCTGCTGCACAACCAGCTGCTGTACGAGCGATACAAGAGGGAGCAGCACGCCGTCCGCAACCGACGCCTCCTCCGACGCATCATCAACGCCACTGCACTGGAGGAGCAGAACAACGCCATGGCGAGTTTGCACGTGCTCATTATCACATATTAGCCCTGTTTAAGCACTTTAAAGTGACAAAAACAGTGTTTGAAACAAAGGGAAGGGAAGTGTAGATTTACTGACATGCAGCACCACAGGACAATTAAAGGTCTGCCCTCTAAATGAAGGCTCACATGTTTGATCCCTCAAAAACCAGTGTGTTGTGAGAAAATGCATCTATATTCTCCAGAGATATTGACTGATCACTGAGGCATTTGTAGTGTTTCACAGCTCCAGCTGTCAAATCAGTCGAGTGTCATCTGCAGCAGGTAACTGAAGTTGTTTTGTTTGCGGCTGAGACAGACAGATCGCTTTTCAACAAGTGATGCTTACTAAGAAGCCATGAAGGCTGGTTTGTCTCCAGGAATGAAATGTAAACAAAGAGGTGGAACACTGACACATTCCTGCAGCAATCAGCTGAAAGAAAAATAAGTTTTCTGTTAATCTGAAACAGAACAGAAGAAGTGTTTGAGGTTTTTGGAGAAAATGTCTGTGTGATCCCTGCTCGCACAAGACCAGCTGAACCATTTGAGAGAAAAAATGGCACAAACTGCTTCCAACTGCCTTAAAACATCTATCTTCTGTAACAAACATTTAGAAACTCGTGTACACGTTGTACTCAACTTATGCATCTGTGTGTGTGTGTGTGTGCGCGTGTGTGCAGAAGGACCAGCTGAACCTGCAGAGTGTGGACATCTTGTCTTTGAGGGAGAGTCTGCAGGTGGAGCAGCAGCGGTACAGACAGCTGTGGGACGACCGGGAAACAGTGGTGACCAGGTTGCACAGTCAGATCAGACAGCTGCAGCAGGGACGAGACGACTACTACACCAAGAACCAGGAGCTCCAGGTACACTCACACACTCTCACTGATTCAGAGATGCACAAACATTCTTCTACAGACAACGATGTATATCACTGTACATGTTTTATACTAAAACAATACAATGTCAATGACAATTTAATGATGATAATACAGTACAGATATGTTTGTCCACTATAGTCACCATTATCAGATACAGTATAACTCATTTCACTCTGGTTTTGTGTCTCCAGAGCAAGCTGCAGGAGTGTCAGAAAAGGATGGATGAACTGGAGGCGGAGCTTCAGAGGGCCAACAACAAAGTCTGCCACACTGGTCACCTCCTCAACCAGATGACTATTAAGGTAGAGACACATCATTTTCTCAGTTTTGGGCTGCTAACTGAATATACTTAAAAGCCCCTTGCAGACATGGGATATGGCTGGCGTCATCTATCTGTTTAGGTGGGGCCTTGTCCTTCAAACGAAGGCAAGACAAGGACATTTTATTTGTGTAGCACCTTTTAAAAGCAGAGTTAGTTCAATCAGTGCATCACAACAACAATAAAAACAATAAAATATACTTAAATATATTTGTTTAATGATAACCTACAAACAGACCAAAATAATAATGATAATAGTCAGAAATACAGTGCAATGCAATTACAATGCAGTAAGAAGATGCCCAAAATAAAATGCAGGAAATAAAAGTGCAGCATAGAAACAAATCAGTGGAGAGCAGAGGTGGCTAACAGAGGGGGTGGTGTCACTGCTGGAGAACAGCTGTAAGAGCAAGTAATGGTATAAAGGAAACAGAGGGTTACATGTCCTGTCTGTTCACTCATTCATTTCATAATTTATTAGAGAATTCGACTTCCTGTTCTGCTCTTCTTAATTCCTATTTTCTCACATGCTGTACTGTATTTAAAGCATTTTTTAACAATATTTCAAAAATGAATTCACATTGTATTAGTTTTATTAAAACTTTTTTTTGGAATAAGACAAGGTACTTATGGGACAAATTTATTACTGTGCTCATAGAAGGTGGGCTGTCTCTGACGTGGGTTCTTATTCAGACATCAGGCCAACATGTAAAATTGCCAGTGCATTTACTTAATACGGTGCCTGTCTGAAAGGGGCTATAATAGTCATGTTGCTTTTAAAAAAGTTCTCATTACAAGAACCTTTTGGGGGTGTCTTTTTTTGGCCTGACATTTCCAGTTCTTTCTTGTTTTGACTCAGATTTTGATTGTGGACGGCCACACACACGATTCTTATGCATAAATCTAAATCCAGTTAAATGAGCTGCTGATGTATCATTGGTATATTATTAGCATATCATTTATTTTTAGTAAAATAAAGTTGTTGCCTTTTTTTCAAAACAAAGTTCTGGCAAAAAGAAGGATTAAAGTCTAATACATTTTATCTTCCATGTCTGGGCAGGTGTTCATTTCCAGATAAGGAGATGAACACGTCTCTACTAACAAACCCATATCGGAACTATTTACGCATCGTATTGCTACTAACGACTAACTGCTTTATGTTAAATCAGCAGGATTGTTTAGTCGCTGCCTCTTCAGGCTCATTCAGTGTCAAATCTGAATGAAAATTTCACTCAGATTTCTATGCGCTCTCTCCTGCTTTCCTAAATAGAGGAATTGGGCAGGACAGCGAGCAGGCTTGCGGGCAGTTGGGTCAGGCGTGGGGAGTTGCCCCCATCCTCGTCCTACCACCTCCCTGTAGACTGCAGACTGTCCCAGGGCTGGGTTGCCTTGGAGATGTTGTCTCTCCCTCTCTATTTTTGGGTCAGCAACACGGGGGGTCTGGGTGTTTTTCTGCCTCCTGGGGTTTGTCTGAGGTCTGTTTCCCTCGTCTGACCTAGACTGATGTGAAATCCTGACAAACAAGGAGCCGCTGATTCAGGAAACTGGGCATTTCAGATCAGACTGCATCCACACGGTTGATTAAAGGTCCTTATTTATGATATTCAGACTGTATGGTTAACATTGTGTGAATTCAAGGCCTAGGGATTGATTTCTCAAGATTATTCCCATAAAATGGCTGTAAAGCGTAACACAAAGTAAAGTTCTGTCGTAAATTAACATTTATTTTCAGACAAAAGTAGCTCCTTAGACTGACGTGCAGACAAATATTTGCACGGCTCATTTGCTGCAGCCCGTTGAATCTTCCATGCATTCAGCCAGATCGTTAACGGCTAATTCTGTCGCGCTTTATCGCTGATGTATTTCCTCGAAATTTCTGGACAGGTTTGATTTGTAGCGTAATTGCTGCTTTGCCCTCCATCGTCATTGTTTGTCTCGTGTGTCCTTCAGCTGAGCAACAGTGAGAGCACCCAGCAGCAGATGAGCTTCCTGAACAAGCAGCTGCTGCTCCTCGGGGAGGCACATAAGCTGTCCATGCAGGAGTTACACCACACAGGCGCCGATAATACAAAGGTATGATGGAACAATATGGTGTGTGTGGTGTGTGTGCTGTGTGTGTGTGTGTGTGTGTGTGTGTGTGTGTTGTGTGTTGTGCCGTGTGTGTGTGTGTGTGTGTGTGTGTGTGTGTGTGGTGTGTGTGTTGTGGTGCTGCTGTGGAGTGTGTGTGTGTGTGTGAGAGAGAACTGCAGAGACGACATACTGAGGTGAAAAAAGGGACACTAATTGGGTTTGTTGGGCGTCAAGTCAGATTGTCCCACTGATGCGTTTTTAGCTTCGATGTAACATCATCTGTCATGGTCATAGTTTTGCTTCATTGTAGTCAGAAGGTGGTTTTAATTGTATATGAATTAATTCTAAAAGAACATCATCTTAAGGTTCATTGTTTGTCTATCCTAAAATACATTCTGCTCATAAACTCTGTTAACAGAGCTTACCTGAAGGTAAAGAGCACATTGTGTGTTTTTACCCTCAACAAAGCCTGACCGGTCCAGATATGTTAAAATTGACTAACCAATCATAAGCCACATATTTTGAATTACATTTTTACACATCTCGCATCTGGCTGTAATCTACCAGACTCACAGATAAGATTTTGATATGTAGAGCTGAGACGATTAGTCAAGCATCAGAAAATTAATTCAGCAACAAATTTGATAATCAAATGATTATCTTTTGTTTGTTTTGTTTTTAGTAGAAATGCCATTTGCACAACATTGTCTGGTTATTTCTGAGTATCTTTGTGATTTGTGTTGGTCAGAAAAGCAAGCATCACCTTGGGCTTCAGGGCATTTTGATAATGTCCAGAGCTTCACTCAATGCACCACAAGACACAAAGACCTCTGAGTCAAACTGCATTCACCAGTACTATAGATAATGGTAGAAAATGGCCTTTACTGCAATTTTAAAAAAAAGTAGAGCACATTGAAAAATTCCCCATATAACAGCCATGTGTCTTTTTCGCTCTCTCAACTGTTTGTTCCTTCCCACTCTGCCCGCCTCTGTGCACAATGTCCCTCCACCCAGGAGGCCCAGATGCTGCAGCTGTCTTATGAGAAAGAGGTGGAGACGCTGAAGCAGAACCTGCTGGTTCAGGGTCAGAAACTGGAGGCAGCGCAGCAGAGAGTCTCCGAGCTGGAGACGCACCTCTCCAAGAAGGAACACCTAATCGTTGAGCAGAAGAAGTTCCTCGAGGATGTAAAATGTCAAGCAAAGTGAGTAAGAACCTCATGAGTCCTCAAAACAAGCTCACATTGGAGCATCTAAATCAGTAGGACATGAATCAGTTATCTAAGTAGATCACATAATACTGTTTGTATTAATATAGTGTTTTCTTTCTTTGTCTCATTTATTCTCTCGTTGTATCTGTCACATCTCATGTCTTCTCTGTGCATTGTTCCCCTTTACTCTGTTTTTATTGTTCTCATATTCTCGCTCCCACTTTTTCCCTGTCCCTGTCTTGTCTCTGTCTCTGCAGGGCTGAGCTGCAGGCCTCAGACAGCAGGTATCAGACTCAGAGGAGAATCACTCAGCTGCTGCAGACTGAACTCCTGCAGCTCTACAGCAGAGTGGAGATGGAGGCTCCTGCCAGCACTGCCACCAGTTCACCACCAGGGGGCAGAGCTGACCC